TTCAGAGTTTATGAATGAATAAATGAATGAATGGTGAAGATTCACTGACTCAACAAATATTTAACCACTTACCGGGTCCCTGGTACTACGCTGAGGACAAGGTCTCATATCAGCCTTCACAGGGCTCACAGCCCAGCAGGGGAGACAGACCTGTCCTCAGACAGTGAAGAACCTAGATTGGCAGAGCTGAGAGGGGGAGGCCCTGGGAGAGGGGTGCTGACCCATCCTGGGGATCAGGGAGGGCTTCCTGGAGGAGGGGATATAGGAGCTGAGACCTGGAGGAAAAGAGTATGAGCCAGAGGTAGCAAAGAGAAGAGTGCTCCAGGCAGAGGAAGGGCATGTGCAAAAGCCTGAAGGCAAGGGAGGGAGGCCCCAGCACCTGCGACACAAAGGGGAGGAGGGAGAGAGGAGACCTGGGCAGGTGGCACCAGCAGGTCATGCAGGCCTCATGGGCCATGGTGAGGAGTTGGATGCAGAACGCAGGGGTGCTGGGAGGGGTCAAGCTAAGAGTCCCCGATCTGGGCCACTGTGCTTCCCTGAAAATCCACAGACACCTCCTCCAGGAGGCCTCCAGGATTGCACAGCGGGAAGCAACCCCAGCAGCCAGTAACACTCCCTATTCAATGCCGGCACCGAGGAGGTGGCAGTTACTAAGGGTCTGCCCTCACAGAGGTCACAGTCACAACAGCAGAGCACACCCTTGCACAGCCCCCTCCTCTCACATCTGCCTCAGAAACGCTCGTTCCTCCCCGGGGGGGTCCCATGGAGCCCCAGCTGCAGCCCGGACCTGGCCTTGTTGGGAATGCAAAAGACTATACCGCATCAGACCCGCCAGCTCTGCAGCGATGGTGCTCACGTTAAGAGCCGAGAAGCGCTGTCCTCAGGCCTAACCTCCCCCTGCCTCAGTTTCCTTTTCTAGACAAGGAGATAACAACAGAACCTACCCAGCCGGCTGACGTGACGACTAAAGGAGAGAACGCATGTGAAAGCGCTGAGCGCAGCTTTCCAAGCCTTTGCTTTCAGCAGCTCGGCCTCCCTTTCCTCCTCCCCTTTGTTATTATTACATTTGGGAGGCTGAAAGCGCTTTCAGAGACCACCGTCAGCCAACCTTCTTGCTCTACAGACGGGGAAACTGAAGAAGTGAGCAGCAGGGGTTTGGCCAAGGGGCCATCACAATGACTTGCGGAAGCCGGCCTTTGGCAGACTCTGCCCTAGGCTGTTTACAGGATGCTCTGAGCAAGCCCAGAGCAGGCATGGCCACCCCAACCCAGCGGCGGCGCAGAGCCCAGCCTTTTGGAGCCAGAGCACGGATCCTACCCTCTCCCC